TGTGTTCTGACAAGAACTTTTCTTTTTCTGGACAAAGGGTGTGTAAGAACTGTCCGAATGTTTTGTATTTCCGAGCGCTTTCGGCTATACTTTGGCCATTATCAAGATGATTCGATTATCAGTTTAGTAGAGTGTGTGTGTTCTGTGTATGTTCAGTGTGTGGTAGTGATGTTTTTAATTTCCGAATACGGTTAGCACATTGTGGCTTTGTTCATAGTTAATATTGTTAAGAGTTGGCTTTTTCTTTTTTATTATTAGAGCTTCCATTATTTTTAGTCTTTTTTTTGCAAGTGGAAATTTCGGTGTAATGAGTTTCGACATGTAAAAAGACTTCATTAGACTAAAATAGTGTTTTTATTGTATTATATATATATATATTTTTGTATTATATATATATATATAGTTATTGTATTATTGTATTATATATATATATATATATATATATATATATATATATATATATATATATATAGAGAGAGAGAGAGAGAGAGAGAGAGAGAGAGAGTTGAAGGTGGAATATATATGCGTAAACATCTATCATAATTATACATCGAGAGGAAATACTGAAAATCAGGAAATACTAATTTTTTTTTGTTCAAACATTTTTCTTTTTTACTGTCAAAATTAAAAAAATATAGATGTTTTAAAATTTTAATTTCTTTTATTTTTGCGACTGACGTGTTTTGACACATAGCCGAAGCAATTCTCTTTCAGTTTCCTTACAACTTTGTTTTTTGTAGTTGTTGGTTTTAAAGAAAGCCGTCAAAGTATGATAACAGATATGAAAAGAAAATTGGAATGTTGTAAGAAACTGGAATCTTGTCTACCCTGGATGATCGAGCAATCAGTGCACTTTCTATATATTTGCGGCTTAGTAAATTGCTTTCTGTTTTAATTAAAGTAGCTTTTTTTTATTTTACTTCTACACAGAATTTTTCCACTTTATCATTCATTTTCCTAACATTGTTCTGACACACAGAAAGGTAAATATATTTTTTCATATATATAATTATAAATACTTTCAAATTTCTTGAGATCAGTTTCACGCGAAGGCGTAATCCTCAGGCGCAACAGAATGGAACCATTACCGAATTGTTGCCATTCAGAATGAATGTGATATTTATTATCAGGAAGATATTACGTAAAGGGCGGGATAATTATCTAACGTCATCCATTCCAATTTCTTTCAATGGGAACGCACATCCTAATAAGGTAGGCTTTTAACTCCAGAGAATTTTTTTTTTCACCAAGAATTTGTTCCCATTGCACATTGCCACATATGATTAACAATTCTTAGAGTAAATTCGTTATTATATTGTCTGCTGTAAGACTGTATAGTAAAAAATATATTTTTAAAAAAAATTTTCATCATTTCAACCTAAGCAAGGCGATACAGTCACTAAAACGCAAGTGTTTACTGGTAGTGCAAGAAAATGAGAAGACTTTAGTGAGGTGTAAGGACAATAAAAGAACAGGTGTCATGACGACGGAAGATGGCGATTGACATTGTATCTAAATTTTTGAGAATCGTTGGTGGCTCGGAGGTGAAAAACCGGAAGAGAGTTTCACAGGTGAGAAGTGCGAGAAAAGAAACTATTATGATAGAACCCACAGTTGTATTTAGACCTGGTAGGCTAATCTAACGGTATGTTTAAATTTACGCACATCAAAGAGAACTAATTGAAGCAATTGCCATATTTATTTATAGAAAAAACCTGAGGGAGGCACGTCTTGACGGTGGGAAAGTGACTTAAGTCGAACTAAGAAAACTTCTGGGTTTGGATCCAGAATTTCTAGATAGATTACGGGAGATTTCAAGCCAGATATTCAATGCACGGACGAATGGTAAAGTGATAAATGGACAAGATTGGTTTTGGCTAGAAAAATTGCCTGGTACTACACAGTGGACCATTTTTTCTAGGAACAGACTTAGTAATTGATTCAACAGAATCAGCCCACTACATGCCAGTAAAAAACGTGAGTCCAAGAAGGCGAAAGTTTATCTCCTGGTGGTTAGCATCAGCCATGTGTATTGAAGGCAAAAAGTTTTCTATGATGATTAAAAGACAACAGTTTCTTTTAGGAGGCGTTAAAATTACAAGCATTTCCTTGTCCCAGTTAACAACTGATTGGAGGTCATTTTCGAGAGCGGAATCCAGTTCTACTTTGTTTGATCTATCAGACCTTCTATTAAGTCCGGAGTAAATAGTTGCGTCATAAATAACAAGTTGGGAACTGATTAGATTTTGGTGAGAAGGACAATTTTTAAGCGGCTGTATCAGTCAGTGATTGTGATTACTTAGTATAGGCATAAGACAATGCAGGTCAACCCTACTATTGTGACATATCTTTTCATTCAGTTCATATATATATATATATATATATATATATATATATATATATATATATATATATACATGAATAAGAGGACAACGAAAATATATGTATTGTTGTATCCGAAAATGCTATTGAAAATATAGTTCATGCCACTTTGACAGAAAAATTTACCAGTAAAAACATTTGTTCATCACCATATTTTATATGAACGCACAACCTTTAAAAATTTAAAATCAAACTCAGCGTTGCTTCTGCGCGCTCCAAAAACAATAACTCATTTTCAATAGCATTTTCGGATACAACAATGCATATATTTTCGTTGTCCTCTTATTACTAAGAGAAAAAACAAGAACAACATCTATTCTATACCTGAAGATGTCTGTAGGAACAGACGAAAGCTTGTAGTAAAAATAAGAACTAATACGGCAGAAATTTATATAAACAAGGATCATTTCATTCATAACGGATTCGGAGGTTTTTGTATATTATTTGAATTGTTTGCGATGATGGATGTCTCGCCATTTAAATCATTAACCTTTGCATTAGTTTTTGTGTGAATAATTCATGTATTTGTAAATTGATTGCACATTTATTGTAATATATATATATATATGTCTCTGACAATAATGAATACTATAATATTTATTTTATAATAAACAATATCCTGATGATGACATGGGTATGTCGAAAGTACTTGGAAATAAAACAAATATGAATACACACGGCGATTTTCTCTCGTCCCTCAATAATTACATCAAAAAGCTTATCCGCAAGTATGAAAAGATCTTAACGAAAATAAGTAGACAAAACATGTCTAAACAGTATAACGATATATATATATATATATATATATATATATATATATATATATATATATATATATATATACGAAAATATAGTTTAAAGGTGTGCTATATTGATGGGATAAAGTGCTCAATATCAGAGACAGAACGTAAGTGAACATTGAAGTCAACACTCAAAGGCCACCTGACGATTGCGTCTAGCATGAAACAGCCTGTCGCCTCTGTCAATGTTCACTTACTTACATATACATATATACATATATATATATATGTGAAAATATATAGAAAATAGGAAGGAACTGGTTAGGTAAATAATCTAAAGTCCCTTAGTATTTTAGTTATTATTTTAAAAAAATAGTGCTCGATACAAAAGTAGAGCATAAATATAATTATTTATTTAAAAATATGATTCCAAAACGCTACATGAGAAGTCTCATGTTTCAAAACAAGTTTTCGGCTCTTGTTTTGAAACATGAGACTTCTTATGTAGCGTTTTGAATCATATTTTTAAATAAATAATTATATATATATATATTATATATATATATAGGTTTAACTTAATTAGCTACTCTATTTCCATAATATTCACAGCCTTCTAACTCTTCAAATGTCGAAAGTATAACTAATTATAATTTCTATATTACTCTATAACACTTTTACACTATACTTATGATTTATAAACTTTCCCCTACTCTAAGATCTCCCCAACTCTCTTTCAACATCATTTTCTCTATATATTTGAATACTTTTATCTATATAATTGCATCCTTTTATCTATATATTTTAAAGTTAATTTTAATCCTCTTCTAATTTTAAATTAACATTTCATTCTTCATATAACACCAAATTAATGTCATAAGGTTAATATTCGGGTTTAATTTTATAAAACTTCTTCCCTTCAAGACAAATATCTTCCACTGATCCCTCCCTCGTGCCTTTCGTCTGACTGAAACATTGAAATGGATAACTTATGTATTATTTTTTGTCTTTTAGCTTTCATAGATAAATTTCTATTTCTAGCAAGAACTCAGTCCACACCAGTGTGGATAAGACAGACGACAGATATCTTCGTCTGCCGAAATAGCCTATTCCCCATAAGAGGTGGTTTTGGATTTTATTGTTTATTAATTATATTGCTGTGTAATAATAAATAAATTGAGCCCCTTTTGTGGATCAGTTTTAATATTTTATATTACTAGGATCCACTTGGATTATAAACCAACGGATTTTCTTACCTTTATATTATATATATATATATATATATATATATATATATATATATATATATATTTGTATAGTAGGATCAGCTGAGAAGCGTATGTTAGAAAAAGACCACCATGACGCACTCATCGAGAAATTTGGAAATAGCATGCTGTACTGCTTGGCATTCGGACCGGAAGTTCCAATACGAACTTTTCTGAGTGTTTGTATGTCAATATGAGGACAGTGATTCATTTTCTCACAGTCATTCTGCGACCACCTCACCACTTACATCTGACCGCCCAAACTGCACCCCCATGTGTGAGGGGTGCAGTTGAATAATAGACCAACAAAACTCCTTGTAACAGCATAGATGAAGAAAAAGAATTATGGCAGCATTCACCAACTTAAACAAGGAGACCGTCCAGAAGAGTTGCAGGAGATTCCGAAGTCGTCAGGAGGCCGTAGTTGAAGCCAATCGCGATTTTATTGAATAGATATACTCTTTAGTATTTCAAGATATTTTTGTGTAATTGTGTTAAATACACCTGTTAAAATGAGATGGCAACGTTATTTTCATTTTTACATAAATTAGAAGACAATTTATCCATCGCACATTATATATATATATATATATATATATATATATATAAATAAAATTTTATATGTAATTTTCAGCAGGAATTTCTGTTTATACCTTATTTTTATAATAATTATTATAAATTAATGATTATTAACTATTTATTTTTGCTTAGATATTTGTATTTATAAAAATAACAGGAATATATATATATATATATATATATATATATATATATATATATATATATATATATATATATATATATATATATATATATATATATATATATATATATATATATATATGTATATAATATATATATATATAAAATATATATATATATATATATATATATATATATATGGGAGGTCCTTGTTGGTGTGAGTGTATGTGTGAACGTGTATGTGTGTGTGTGTGTGTGAGAGAGAGAGAGGGAGAGCGAGAGAGTTAGATTGAGATACGGAAAAAAGATGAATGCCAAAGTGAAATACATTTTCGTGGGAGATTTTTTGTTACTTAAGACTTCTTCAGACTTGTATATATATATATATATATATATATATATATACAAGTCTGATATATATATTTACAATGAGTATATATATATATATATATATATATATATATATACTCATTGTAAATATATATATATATATATATATATATATACTCATATATATATCTAATATATTCATATATATCATATACATAATATATTTATATATATGATATATGCATATATATATAATATTCATATATATATATTCATAGATATATCTATATATATACATACATAATATTTACATTTATATGCATATATATAATATATTCACATATATTTATATATATAATATATCTATATATAAAATTAATATATTCATATATACATACATATATATATATATATTATATATATTCATATATATATAATCATATATTTATATTTGTATATATATATATATATATATTCATATATGTGTAATATATTCGTATAAATATTATGCATTTATATATATATAATATACTTAAAAATATCATGTATTCATTATATATATGCTTATATAATATATTTATAATATATATATATATATATATGAATATATATATATATATATTTATATATATATATATATATATATATATATATATATATATATATATATATATAGAGAGAGAGAGAGAGAGAGAGAGAGAAATAGAGAAATAGAAAAAAACGAAGTATACGGATGAATTTGGCTCGACAGAAAAAAAAAAAATTATTTCAAAAACTTTCCGACTACCTGCGTCTCTCATCTCGTGCGCATGTGTAGACATGGCTACGTCACCAATGTCTAGTCCGCTGAAATCGTATAGGCTGTAATGCGTTACAAAAAAAACAAAAAGAAAAATGAAAAAAAAAACAAAAAAAAACCTTCCAGTTTCTCATATTCTTCTAAATACTGTTTATATATAAAATTATACAAAATTATATATCTTTTTATCATAATATTTTCCTCTTTCATATATATATATATATATATATATATATATATATATATATGAGAAAAAATATACTCTTTAGTTGCACAATATCAGAGATGGAGCGTGTGTAAAAGTGAACATTGAAGTCAACACTTAGAGGCGACAGGCTGTTTCATCTAATAACAAAATAAAATGGCCTCAGCAACTGGAAGAATTTTGTTTTATTATTAGTTACTTTGTTTAATAAAGTCATTTCGTTATTTCGTTTTGCGTTGAGAAAGTCCACATCGGACGAAACGCGTCGGCAACTATTACAGTTTTCCTATTGTCTTTTACATTTATAAATATTGTCTTTTTCTACAGGTTAGCTCTGACAAATTTTTCATATATATATATATATATATATATATATATAATACCAAATTAAAATTTTTGGTGATTATTCGAAAGAGGACTTTTCACTCCATATGAGAGCTCAGTGTATGATACAGAGCAAATTATAAGAATAATTATGAAAAAACCTTAAAGAACCATATTCGGTAATAAATTTATTTCAATGACTATAATCATGTAGCCGGTCTCATGAGATGAATATGCTTATATTCATCGAAATGAATTTATTTTACAGGTTTTTCCTAAATTATTACACACACACACACACACACACACACACACACACATGTATATATATATATACACACACACACACACACACACATATATATATATATATATATATATATATATATATAACAATTTGTAGGTCTGATGAATTGTATCGTGATTACAATTCAGTGTAATAAATTATAACCATGGAATATTAGTGTTTTGATTCTCAATTTTTCATTAATGCGAATTTTTTTCGGATTCCGCCGTCTTGGCTTCTACTGATAAAAACAATTAAAGGAACACAATTCTCTAACTTTCAATAGCTCATGTTTAAATGAAAAATGACTGTTTCAAAATAAAATTGTCTGTGTTTTCACCTTTATTCCTCGAGGCCCTATAACAAGATATCACACCATTTTGAAATCAGACCGACTCCGTGAGCAAATTAAAAACTCTCCGGTCCGGATCCGGACACGCAATTCTGAAATTTGGAATTTTCAATTTTCCATTATTGCCATTGTTTTCGGCGATTGCTTACGCGCCTGATTTTTGTCGACGAATTCACCCATATAATAAAAATAATTGTTTTTTACGGAAAGTAAGGACCTGCGTGCATCAAATTATCTTTAAATTAAGTGGCGACAGAAGAATTATCTCAATCTTCAAGAACTACAAATGAAATCACCTAGGTCTTGAAGATTGAGAGCTGCTTTTTTAGAGCTCTCATGAAATAAAAATTATTACCTATGGAATTTTAAGTGTTTGATATTCTTTAATTAATAAAAATTTTGCTCTGTCTTTTGACATAGAGCTCTCCCAGGATCTATATCCACCTGGAAATTTCATACGGATTATATATATATATTTGTTTTTTTTTTTAAGCATTTCATCCCCAAGCAAGGCGGGAAGCCACTAGGATGCAAGGGGTTACAGAAAATACAGAGCGAGATCAGATAGGAGTGATAGAAGAAAGGATAATAAGGGTAGTGGATAGATCAAGGCAACTGGAAATGTCGACCGACATTACACTTGAATAGCTGGAGATTATAGCTCACAGGGAAACTGGAATGGGGAAGGGAGTTCCACAGGCGAGAGGTGCGAGACATGGAGCTATTAGAGTAGAAGAGACGGCTACATTTAGGAGTTTCGACAAATATATATATATATGTCTATATTTCTGAGATGAGGTATTATGTACATTATTTACATTATTCGGATTATTGTCTTCATCTTTGTCGTCATATTTATCACAACGTTTCGGCCGTTGTACGCTCCGGCCTTCTTCATAACTGACAAATGACATCCATTAAAACATGGCACGTGGAACTAGAACAGTCCATCCCAGTGAGCGAAATAAAGGGTTCGGTTCGACATTCCAACCACCTGAAGAAGGTCGGAGCGTACAACGGCCGAAACGTTGTAATGAATATGGCAACAAAAGATGAGGACAATAGTCCGAATAATGTAAATAATATATATATATATATATATATATATATATATATAATATTTATTTAAAAATATGATTCCAACACGCTACATAAGAGTTCTCATATATTTTCTATATATTTTTCACACATATATATATATATATATATATATATATATATATATATATATATATATATTTATTATTTATAAAAAAATGATAACATAAGTATGTTATAAAATCACTACAAAATTAACCATTTTGTTTCAACACACTCAGTGTCTTATCAAGTGATGATGTTGAAGATAAAATAAACCTAATTGTTGGTTATTGAATTCATTCCATATATACCAATTATATACTTGGGTATATATATATATATATATATATATATATATATATATATATATATATATATATATATATATAGAAAAGACAAATAACAACGCGTTTCGTTCCTTGAGGAAAATGTGGAAGTTTTATTTCGGTAATTGTATTTTTACACAGAACTAAATTGGGAAAAAAATATTGTTTTCAAATTTTGAATTTGAGTAAATTCCAAAATGTTCTTCAAGCCTACTGTGTCAAGAAATATTTCCTGACTTTCGTTTATAAGGCAAGAAAGTGGATCACTTAGCGACCTCCAAATTTTAACTTTCTTTCCCAGCATGCTTTAGGAATATGTTTGCGCATTTTCAAATTAAAAAAAAAAAAAATAGGTATATTTTAAACCGAAATATATTTTTGGTATTGCAAGAATAATTCTTTTGTTTTTCTTTAGCGTGTAAATATTGAATGAGATGTTTTCGGAAGATAATATTGATTTTCAGATAAAAGTCCTACTCTTTGACCCTTGGAGGCGTGTTCATACTTGTCCCAATGTTATTTGGACAAAAGTGAATTCAAAGAAATCAATAGAAACACGGCTCTCTCCGATTTCTCATTCTAAACCCGCATCTCGGTCCCTTCATATCTATCTATCTATCTATCTATCTATCTATCTATCTATCTATCTATCAATTTCAATCTCTTCATATCTATCTATCTATCTATCTATCTATCTATCTATCTATCTATCTATCTATCAAATCTATCTATCTACTTCAATCTCTTCATATCTATCTATCTATCTATCAATTTCAATCTCCTCATACCTATCTATCTATCAATTTCAATCTCTTCATATCTATCTATCTATCTATTTCAATCTCTTCATATCTATCTATCTATCTATCTATCTATCTATCTATCTATCTATCTATCAATTCCAATCTCTTCATATCTATCTATCTATCTATCTATCTATCTATCTATCTATCAATTTCAATCTCTTCATACCTATCTATCTATCTATCTATCTATCTATCAATTTCAATCTCTTCATACCTATCTATCTATCTATCTATCTATCTATCTATCTATTTCAATCTCTTCATATCTATCTATCTATCTATTTCAGCCTATTCATATCTATCTATCTATCTATCTATCTATCTATCTATCTATCTATCTATCTATCTGTTCATATATATCTCAATTTCTTCATATCTATCTCATATCTGTTATTGTCGAACATAGTTATTGGGCGGAGAATAATTGCAATCATAAGCGAGGCGCTAATTAATTAATCTGACAAAGAAGAAAACAAGTTTAGTTTTTTGGCCTGAAGATTTTGTGTCAATCCCACGGTACATTTCAAATGATAAAAACATTTTTTGTTATTGGCTTGTTTATAAGAAAAACAATCCAAAAAACCAAATCCGCCTCCCCTCCCGCCTCTGGCAGCCTTGACTGAAAAGCGAGCAACATTCCTCTAATCTAACGCACCCTTTCCTTTACAAGACTGCCTTTTCAATCCTCACCTATATGGCCGATGACGCCCTGCTTTCGCAGAAGCCAATTCAAAACACTTGCAGATATGACGTCAGTGTCACGTGTTCAACGCGCCGATATTTTTGCTCAGCTTAGGTTATTTGTTTATTTTTTGACAGCCTTTATCCAAGTCAGTATCTTTATAAATTCGCGTAAAGCTAAATTTTGTCTGTGTAGCCACCTTACGTCAGTAGAACAAAACAAACCGCCTGGTTAACATGTAAACAAACACCTTGTTATCATCTTTTTATACACATTGCTTAACTTACAGACTATCTTGACAACATGAGCGCAAACCTTACTTACATTTTTTATCTCATGTGGGAGGGGTACTTATGTTTAAGTCGAATTTAAAAAATTGTCATATTGAAGCAGTTTTCTGTCGATATTTTTTTAAAATTTATCTTGCATATCTAAAAATAATTTATACTTGCATTATTTACATTATTCAGTTATCCCCATCTTCATTACCATATTCACATCTTTTCGGCCGTTGTACTCTCCGGCCTTTATGTCAAATGTCTCTCTATGTATATGTCTATATCTCTCAGATGAAGTATTATGATTGCTTGCCTTATTGTATGTCTATGTCTCTCTCTATATCTGTCTATATCTCTGAGATGAGGTATTATGATTACTTGCATTATTTACATTATTCGGACTGTTATCCTCATCTTCATTGCCATATTCACGTTTAAGAGAAAATGTGTCTATATTTCTGAAATGAGGTGTTGTAATTATTTATGTTATTTGCATTATTCGGACTGTTGTATTCATCTTTATTGTCGTAGACAAGAACACAATATGGGAACCAGTAGTAAGAAGTGCTAGAGAAAAGCAATGAATAACAACAAACATCGCAATATGAACTCTGATAAAAAATGCAATAATAATAACAGAAAAATTGCAATATGAGCACTGGTAAAATTTAGAAGAAACATTATGTTTATAAGTCCAAATGATTCATTCCTCGATGTCACCAAGAACACATGACCCAGTGGATGAAAGCGTTGGTTGGATCCTGTGAATTGTCCCAAAGAGTTGTAAGATCATTTTTATAAAAAAAAAAAGACCAAAAACAGAAACGTCATGAATTATGACAAAAAATAAATAATTAAAATAAAGACAACGGCCCGAACAATTTAAATAATGTAAATAGCTACAATACCTCATCTCAGAAACAGATCCTGAAGAAGGCCGATGTTACAACGGCCGAAACGTCGTGAAGATGACAATAAAAATTAGAACAACAGTTCGAACAATGTAAATAGTGTAAATAGTTACAATATCTCATCTCAGAAATAGAGACAGATCCTGAAGAAGGCCGATGTTACAACGGCCGAAACGTCGTGAAGATGACAATAAAAATTAGAACAACAGTTTGAACAATGTAAATAGCTTAAATACCTCATCTCAGAAATATAAACAGCTTCTGAAGAAGGCCGATCCTATAACAGCCGAAACGTCATGAATATGGCAATAAAGATGAGGACAACAGTCAGAACAAGTCGAATGATGTAAATAGTTATAATTCATCCTCTCAGAAAGATAGACATATCCTTAAAAAGGGCGGATCCTACATCGGCTGAAACGTCGTGAATTTGATAATAAAAATTAGGACAACAATCCGAACAATGTAAATAGCGTAAATAGTAATATTACCTCATCTTAGAAATATAGACAGATCCTGAAGAAGGCCGGAGCGTACAACGACCGAAACGTCGTGAATATTACAAGGATTAGGACAACAATCCGAACAATGTAAATAGCGTAAATAGTTACAATACCTCATCTTAGAAATATAGACAGATCCTGAAGAAGTCCGGAGCGTACAACGACCGAAACGTCGTGAATATTACAAGGATTAGGACAACAACCCGAACAATGTAAATAGCGTAAATAGTTACAATACCTCATCTTAGAAATATAGACAGATCCTGAAGAAGGCCGGAGCATAGAATGATCGAAATGTTGTGAATATGACAATAAGGATGAGGGCAACAGTTCAAACAATGTAAATAGTTTAAATAGTTAGAATACCTCATCACAGAAATATAGACAGATCCTGAAGGAGGTCGCGTCATACAACAGCCAAAACGTCGTAAATATGACAATAAAGATGACGACAACAGTTCGAAAAGTTTAAATAAGAGAAAATAGATAATAAATTCAAGGTAGATATCAGAACGTGTATTCTTCATCAAAATTACTGATTCTCAATTTAAAGAAATTTCATATATGTTTTTCTTTTAATCATTTCACTCCAAGCAAGGCAATGAAGCCACTAAGACTCACTGGATTACTGAGTATAAAAGAGAAAAAAATGAAAACATTATTAATGAGCGAGAACATTAAAAAGAAGAGGAATCAAGATGACAGTAGATAAGCCTTGACATTCCATTTAAATTTTTCAATTTGGCTGAAAAAAAGAAACAAGAATTCGGAAGAGAGTTCCACAGGCGAGAAGTGCGAGAAAAGAAACTGGTGTGCAACGTTCGAAGGACATTCCCACTTAGTGAGTCCTAGGGGAGCTTGCAATTGTGGTTGGAATTGATCATGCATAATTCTGATCGAACCGTTGCTTTGCGGAACCGACTCCCAAGAGGATGCTTCCCCGATCACCATACTCTTAACCTGTCGAAATCAAGGGTTAAACGTTATCTTCCCCACATATCGGCATAATCTCTATCTCTTAATTCTGTATTCCCCTACTTCTAGTGGCTTTTAGGCCTTTCACAAAGTGAACACCATTGTAAAAAAAAATTGTTTTTTCCTTATAGCCTGATGATTATTTCCATCTCTCGTGCTAACGTTCACTTTAAAAACATAAATTTCCCGTAGACGATAATTAGATTTATTACAATTAAAATCTACGAAGCGTGTTCAAATCTTGCTGTTGGCAAAAGGGCATTTTTAGGAATGATTTAATAGAAAATCTGAATTCTGTTTGGCATGAAAGGCTCGGTTAGAATCTTCGAGAAATATTCCAATATTTTTTTCGTTCTACTTGTTTTTAACGCCATTCTGATATCTTTTCCCTCGAAGGTAGGCCTCATCGAATCATATTTACGAACTGTTCAGAACTTCGTTTTTTTGTTGTCTTTATTTCCTTTCTCAGCGAAACCACCGCTAGTCACATGACAAGAACAGAAAACAAAATGGCTTCCAATCCTGCCTCTTTATTCCGTTAACATTACGAACACACCTTTCAACTCAGCAGTCTAGAGCTTCACATCTGGAATCGGCCAGGCCACATAGATTGAGTACACTCATCCTCATTCCCTTCATATTCCATTGGTGAGGAAGAAGTTCAACAGACATCTTCTTCCCCAGAAATGTATTATGGAACTACCGCAAGGATGCTTCCCTGATGGCTACAATCTTAACCTCTTCAAGTCTAGGATCAACCGTTATCTATTCTACATATCCTCATGATATATACTTCTTTGCCTCCTCCTTTTACGTTCATACAACAACCCTATTCAGACTCCCCAGAGGATGCTTCCCAGATCGCTACAAACCTCTTCATATTTAGGATGAGCGGTTATCTTTTCTACATAGCCTCATAATACACACTTCATCTCTCTCCATGTACGCCCCGACCGCAAAAAGAACGCTAACCCTTTATCTTGAGTGTCTTTTGGGCATTAGTGAACAATGATAAAAAGAAAAAAACCCTAAGTATACACTGTGGCTACTTTTCGCTTTTCAAGTGTTCTTTTCCCTGCCATATTTATGCTATTTAAGTCCTTTTCGCAACTGCATTCATCAAATTTGATGCATTTGTGTTTTATTGTTTGTGGATGTGCGGCTAGTGCAATGGATAGTGGATGGGATGAGAAATCGAGGTGCCGAGCTCGAATACCGGTCAGTTCGTTTGGTTTGGTTTGTATTGTTTGACGGTATATCAACCTCATTGGGCTATTTAATGCCGACTAGATTTTTATTGCTGGTAATATTGTTTCTAAAAATATATTTCTGCTAATATTTATTCTCTTCAAAAAAAGAAAGTACCGCTGGTATTAAAACCTATTTTTACACTTTCATAGTGTTTTGCCCCCAGTTTGGGGTTAACTATTTGCCCATAGCTGGGACCCTAACAGGTGCTACCACCCAGGGTCAAGGTTGTATCTGGGAACAACAGCAATTAAGAGGTGGTTCCACGCTCCATAAAGCCTCTAGATAAGAGGCCTTGCTGTTGGATGTAGTTTATCGTCTTACCCAGGACGGCCTACACGCAAATCACCCTGGGAAATGTATGAATCCATTTTTTGTATGGGTGTAATAGTAGGAGTTGTATCTGGAAAAATTATTGTTATTCGCAACAAATTGTTAATGCAATATTTACTTGCAAAAAAAGAAACTAATATTCTTGCAATCCAACGTTTCAGCATTAAATAAACTACAAGCAATATCTGTCAACATCTCTGATATATATATATATATATATATATATATATATATATATATATATATATATATATATATATATATATATATATATATATTACAAAAACCGAAATTACATCAGCATGAGAATAGTCTATTTCTGAACCAAGCTGTCTTCAGCTTTTAAGTGTTTTCTGTAAGGGGGGGATAAGAATTTATTTTCAATATCAGCCCCTCCCCACACACACACACACACACACGGGAGACGCCTTGATTATGATTAGGTTCTTGCGTTGGTGACTGGTTGGGGTCTGAGG